TTATCAAATAAAAAGGACTTTGACAGTTTTTAAAATTGAAATCTGCCAACACTTCRCTGTAAAGTTTAATATGTCCACATTTGGTTGTATTTTCATTTTTACTCCTTACTGGTGTTTGGATTTATCTTTTTTTTTTTATGTTTTAACTCAGTTTTAAATGCTTTCTCTGGTATTATTTGCTTCCTTTATTGTCATTCTTGATTTGGTTACTTCTATTTTTTCCTTCTGTTTAGATTTCAGCATATTTCAATTTCATTTGAATGCTCTCATACTTCAAACATTTTACATTCTTTGTAGTTTTTCTGCCTTTTTAGCTAATGTGCTGCAGTGGTCAATTTTCTGTCTGCCCTTGCTCAACATGGTAATGTCTGTAGATTATTGATTTGACTGAGATGAAAAATATGTTGGTGAGGTTTGTTAATGATACTGCTTTGCAAGGTCAGTTGTTTCAGCAAAGTGGAGATATGATATGAGAAAACTGTGGTTTACAGATCTAAACAGAAATGCAATGAAATTGCAAGTGAAGAAAAGGTGAGGATAATTCAGCTGACAAAACCTGTGTCAGTAGAGGTGCTGTGTAATCAGAGCAGACAGTTCTCTGCAGGTGGGAAAAAAAACCCAAATATATATATATCTTTTTAACAAAYGTGTGAAAAATCTGCAGCTCCCACTTAATCTTGAACTTTAGGGCTCAGTGGTCTTTAAGTGGACCCTCCAATTTAGGGACTTTGTGATTTGGGGAGCAGTGTGTGAAATGCTAAAATGAGCTAAAATTAAGCCATTTTTATATATAAACTGAAATTTGAAAAGATCTCATTGCGCAGCAGTTCATTTGTGGGGAGAGCCCTTCTTCAGAAAAGGACTTAGTTTCTGTGTTCTGCAGCAGGAGCCCTTGGGTCATCCCGTGCCCTCCAACAGGGAAGCACGTTCGTTCGGAGCAAACAATGACGAACGGCATGTGGAAAGCGGACGGTCCCTACGGAGGCCTTCCCAGCGGAATGCGATTCTGCACCAAATCTCTGAAGAATTAGGTCACCGCTGTACCTTAGGAGATGGCAACAATAAGTCTTAAAGCTAAAGAATTGCCATCTATTGTTAGGCTCTTGTTCCCGTTTTGACCTGGTGTGGTCTTTCAAGCCCATAGGTGGTACTTGGTAGCCCAAGGATTTTGTTTCTCTCCCGCCAAGATCTTTTAATTGCTTTATTCCTGTTGCTAGGGGAAAGTAAACGCTGTCCTCTGTCCTTAATGCTTTTAGAGGACCCATTGAGCGACCTTGTCGCCTGCATCCCGCTTCCCGTAGCTCCTTGGGATTTTCGCTCCGCTTGTTTGTTGCTCTTGACCTTGTTCTCGTAGCGGTCACTCTTCAGGCGGCCAGATCCCGGCCGCGTTTCTCCGCAGGGATTTCTGCGCTCATTTTGCAGCCGGCCTGGAGCGCTGGCTGTTGCGGCGCCAGCTCTGCCGGGGGTTTCCATAGCGATGGGCAGCATGGCCGGCCAGGCCCGGCCTGGCAGGGCCCGGCCTTGCAGGCGCGTTCGCAGCCACCGCAGGGTTTCGGAGAGCAGTAAGTGTGTGGATTGGGATGTCGCGGGTTTGGAAGGTGTCGTGGTGGGAACCACTGCACCCTTGCCCACGGAGTTGCTAGTTATTTCTGTTTTGTAAATAGTGCTGTTTTTGGACAGAATTCTGCCCTCTCAGGGAAGAACTGTGATTTACTCAAAGGATGTGTCAAGTTTTGATCTCCTAKCTGCCTGGGCCTTTGTATTTTCCTCTCCTAAAATGAAATTCCCATGTTTTGACACTCAGTATATCCAAAGACTAGGCTAACACGCTGCCTCTTCTCCCCAAAGCCCGAGTGGTTTRCATTTCCTTTAGCAGCCTTCTCTCTCCTGTCATGATGGAAACCTTCATTATTGAAAGACTTGGAAAGTGACCAAGGGGAAGTCTTGGTCCATTTGGGACCATTTTTGGTGAGGGTAAGCCTTTACTCCATTTGGGAGCGCATGCGGCTCTGCTGCTTCGCACTGGGCCTACATGAAGCATCACCAGGGAGCCCACCCTGCTGGGAAGCTGCTCACCCGGCTCCCGTCGTCACACATAGGGCGAGGAGCTTGGCTTCCCAGGCCAGAATTGCCTCCCAACAGCCACAAAATACCTGCCCTGGGCTTTAAGCTCCTTTGAGATTCTTTGCATTGACTAAAGGCTCACGGGCCCAGGAGCTGGCTCTCAGGGGTCTCCTCTCAGAAAGATCTGTCCCATCAGCTAAGTGTCACTCTTTGGCCCTTTCATGGTTTTCTGGTGAGAATAGCTCCGATTAGCAAAAGGAACCCAGAAAACACCTGCCCTTTAATAACCATATCCAAACAGTGGGCTTGCTCATGTGGGGACTGGGAACAAGTCTATCCCTGTTCCCCTCCTGACCTAAGGTCTCCACTGAAAGAAGGTACCGRAAAGCAGGTAGCTCCTCACACACAGGGGTCCACAATTCACCTTTCCTCTCCCCATTTTCTGTCTTTCTCCCCAATTTCCCTCAGACAGATTCATGAGAGCTCACGACTGCCGTGGTGGGCAGAATTTATCCACCCACGGGCTGCCCCAGCGGGCGCCTCGTCCTCTGTCACTGGAATCTTAGGGCAGGTTTAAGTGTCAGAAGGAACTAGAGCCCCTCAGAAGTGTTTGGGTGAAAAATAACCGAATGGATGAGGCATTTGCTTTCAGCAGTTCTAGCCCAGTGAACTCGTAYGAATATTGCAGCTTGTGCCAACAGATGAGATAGTGGTTCTTGCTATGAAAAAAATGCTGCCTGAAGAGTCTTTTAATATTATAGATTAAAATATGAGCCTGCAGTGTGTCCAGTTCTGGGAATCCTGTTGAATCCACTTAGTTTACCTGTTGAATCCACTTAATTTTATCTTATCACTTCTCCTGGTATTACATACAATTTCTCCCTTACAGTGTAATTCCTCTGTATCAAACATAGAAATCAGTGCAGCACCTCTATTTTTATCAGCTCTGTTCACTTGACAAATCCGTCCCCTACTGCCCCGAATTCAGTCCTGAATCTAAATGTCCACTGAGGTGTTTTTAGTTTGTGCTCAACTCTCAGTCGAGGTTTCTAGGCAGTAGTGCTCATAGCTGGCACCTTGGTTGGGCTGTTTTAGCAATGTGATACCTAGCAGAGGTCAAAGGCAGTAGCAGTTTATTTGCCTTCCTTGCTGCCTGGCTTTGGCTTCCAAATACGCAGCAGGGGATGGTTCTCATCTCCCAAATATCCAATTTACACCAATACAAGCCACTGCTAGAAATTCAAAACCAGCGTTTTTGTCAAGCCGCCTTTGAATGTTGATTTCATTATTGTTAAATATCAGCACCAGCTTAATCTCTCCTAGATTTCCTGGTGAGATTTTGCTCTGAATCATGTTACAAAAGTCCTTACCTTTTACTGTGGATGCTGGTATCGATTTACCAGGATTAACTGATTTCTGGGTGATCGCTGCTTTGTCGGTGCTTGTTGACTTAGAGAATGGAACTGCTAAACGACAATGCCTTTTTAATAGTTAAAAGCTATTAACTATTAAAATATTAACAGTAACTTGCTGTTGATTAAAATAGCTATTGCGTTCTCCAAGTGGAGTGCAATTTCCCTCCTGAAGGGTTCCAAAAGTGTGCCGGGGATGATGAATACCTCCTCCTGGGGTGAAGTACCTCCTGGAGCCAGATGGGGACGAACAGGCTGAAATAGCATTTATTATAGTTTTTGTTCAATTAATTTTTTAAKGTAATCAATGGCTGCAGTTTACAAATTAATATCTGTAGTTTGTAAGTGGCATTTTGGGTAAATAATGGCAAGCTTTAGGAAATGAGAAGTTGGATGAGATTCCAGTGTTGGCTTTCTGCATATTTCTTTCTGATGCTTGGACAAATSCTGCTTGACCAGAGCTCTTGCAGAAATAACAATTTCAAATTACATATTTAAATATAATTAATGCTTGGATGAAAACCTTGCAAAACACTGCTTTACAAGTTCCTTCATGATATCCTCATTCAAATAATTTAATGTTTTCAATCTTTCAGTGTTTACTTTTTTCAAGCAAACACAATAGGGAATTGCTGTAATTGCTAGGGAATTGCTAGGGAATGGCTGTTGCTGTTTGAAGGAATCTAAATCCTAAGTGTGGAACAATTGTGGTGCCATCATGTGCCAGTTTTGCATGGTGCTCATAAATGTTGCATAAATGTTGCATAAAGCACCTATACAGATTTTGCTCTATCTGTAAAGGTTCTGTCTGTACTGTATAAAGTCTGTGGATATACCTGAATATATTCCCATTTTAAGGTAAACTCTCGTGACGTGAAATCAGCTTCCTTTGTGGGGAGAAAAAGAAAGTGTTTTTGCCAATTTARTTATTACCATTCATATACTAAAAATAAGCATGGTTCTAAAAATCTTGCTGTGTATTATGGTAAAAACAGTAACTTTTTGCTCYGAATCTCCATACCAACACTTGACATAATTTAAAATGAGCTGCRTGGCAAAAGTACTTCTTGCCAGAGTATTGATCTGGGCAGTAACCCAGCCTGGTGTGTGTGTGTATTCATATTTGCTTATTTAAAAAAAAATCTAGGTACATATATGTATATATGTGTGTGTCTGTGTGTGTGCRCGCGCGCGCATATATGTGTATATATATTTGTATCTTTTTTAAGAAATCTCCCCAATGAACAACATTACCATTTTGGTAAAAACGGGAGTGTAAATTGAAATTAAAATTGCAGTTCTTACTATGAAATGTCAAAGTACTTTGCAGTTCTCCTTATTGTGAAGTCATTGACTAGGAATACAGTGCAAGTGCCAGCAAAGCATAAATGTACGGTAGTTTTAGACTTGTAAAAATATTTATAGAAATGTTCATTCATATAAAGTAAGTGTGTGTATTTTTATTATTCTTGAAGAAAATCATCAAAGGTTGGTCAGCTAAATATTATGCTCTTTGTTTTCCAGAAACCAGCAAACATTCTGGTAATGGGTGAAGGTCCAGAAAGAGGAAGAGTCAAAATAGGTAAATCTTTTAAGAAAATTTAGTAGCACAAATAAGAAGTAATTAGAAATATTGCATCTTCAGTAYAAGACAGAAAAAAAACCTCTACAAAATATTCTGTGATGAAAATATATATTCAAATGACATATCAAAGGAAGTGCATGGAGTTTAGGCTTGTATGACAGTAAGTATAGTTATGAGTTTTAAGAGACACCAATTTTTAAGTTTTAAGTGTTTCTGATTTTTTTGGCAAAGCTGTTAAAGTACAATGTGTAATTTATGCTAACTTTATTAAATGTTCTTTCTTTTTCTTTTCCCAGCTGACATGGGTTTTGCCAGGTTATTCAACTCTCCTTTGAAGCCATTGGCAGACCTGGACCCAGTTGTGGTGACATTCTGGTACAGGGCTCCAGAGCTGTTACTCGGAGCCAGGCATTACACAAAGGCCATTGGTAAGGCCATTATCTCCRACTTTCTTGGATGAAGGGAGCCATATAGCAGATATGACAGTCAACTGACCAGCTAGGTTTTTCCCTGAAGTGACAGCAGATGGAGTCTGATCCAAATCACCGTAAATCCAGATGGAATCTTTCTGAGGACTCAGTAGCTTTATTTTTAGATACAACTTAAGATTAATGTTAGAAATATTAAATGCACTTGTTCTTTTCTTTTTTTTATTTAAATAGAGAAATACTCTTTGCATTGGTTTAAATTGTTTTCTGATGTGGGCTCAGAAATCTTGTAATAGCTTCAAAGGGAAAAAAGCTGTGGCTGGTGAAGTGGGGTTCTCTTTCTGTGTTCTTTATCCAGATGCTTTGCACTTCTGTAAAGCATCTGGCTTGATAAGGTGAAGGGCACTCTCCTGCACAGCTTGCAGCCTGCTGATCATTCACTCCTGAGGGCTTATGAAGCTCCATGTTCAGGAAATGCTGGTGGCCAGATCCTTGTCTTTATTACAGCTTAATAAGTTCCACACGCACGATCCAATCAGCCTGAGTGCCTAGCAGTTTGCACAGTAAAAGCACTTGAGGTGCACGGGAGGTTTTCTGTCTGAATGATTAGGTTGCACGTGAAAAGAACTGCGAAGGAAGCAGTGTCCCTGTGTTGAAAGGGGGTTAAATCATTCCTCACACGGACAAAGGTGGCTGTCTTGCAGTTGCCGGCATTTTCTTATTGTAGAGATTTCATAGATCTATAGAGATTTCAAGACCTCATAATCTGGCTTTCTCAAATAACTGTTGTTTATCAAACTATTCCTATTATGTGTCCGTGTACAAAAAACAGTTTACAAAATGAGAGGTTATATGTTTGCCATGTAACTTCTTCAGTGTGTGCTGTGCTTCATGTTTCTTTACTAGCTTCTCCCATTTAGAGTCCTGAAATATGGACCTGAGGTGGGCAAAATACTGCCTTAGACATTGATCTGGCCTTCAGAATATACAGGAACTGTGAAGAAGTGCAAAAAACCTTCTGCACAGGCCTAGCATGTGAGCATAGCTATAAAACTGTCTATAATAAGAGCTGCATGYTCCTGCTTATAAGAACATGTAGGCTGAGGCTTGAAAAATTCTGCTTATGGGCAGGTAATGTGCATTTCTATCCTTGGATAGATTTATCGGCGTTAAAAAGCTGGAAAGTCAGGTCCTAACCCTCACTGTTACTTTTCAGCTGTTGGAATGAACAAACATCAACCATTAAAATGACTGTTTCCCTTAGCACATAGTGTGGCACAACGGAAGGGTAACTGCAAAACAAAATGATGTGGAGGAGATAGCATCCACATTACATGTTTCAGAGAAAGGGGAGCCCGTTGGGCCATCTCTGGCTTGTTTCAATGGACAAATGCTCCTTAGTGCTGAAAGCCCATCTCGTGGGTTAATTTCCTTGCCAAAAGATTATTCTTGTGCCTTCTGAGATGACGTTGTGGTGTGAGCTGAAGTGGGGACCATCAGATCTATTTGCAAAACAAATTCCTGATCCAATGTAAAGTGCAAACCACAGAAACATTCAGTTTGGAGGGGGAGCTCAGGAAGTCTCTAGTCCAWCCKCCTGTTCAAAACAGAATCCACTCCAAATTCAGACCAGATTTCTTAGGACCTTGTCCAGTCATATTTTGAAAACCTCTAMGAACAAAGACTGCTCAACTTCTTGSRTGACTTRTTCCAGTACTTAGTYACCCTTARAGTGCAGATYTTTTYTATTGTGTCCKCTCWGACCCTCCCTATCCAATTTATGCTCCTTGTCTCTCTTTCTCCTGCCCTGTATCGCTGGGAAGAGCCTGGCTCTGTCTTCTCTGTGACCACTTTGCAGGTACTGTGAGGCTCCTGCTAGAGCCATGCCCTCTCTTCTGCAGCCTCTCCCCACAGGGCAAGTGCTCCAGTCTCTGATGAGCTTGGTAGCCCTCTGCCTTGTCCCTGAGACAGCCCTGTCCATCTCTGTTTATCCCCCCTGGTGCTATGTGGGCTGTTCTGCTCCTCCTGCTAGGGGGGCAGTGCTCGTCCTTGGAGCTCTGTCATTGTGGAGACCTCTGGTTTCCCCAGGCCCCTTCCCAGCACTTGCAGGGCATGGAGCACTGCAGCATGTCCCTGCTAACTTCCAAAGCCTCTGCTTGCTGCACCCTGCGCTTGGTGGAAATGGTGGCTACAGGTGTTTAAAGAAATGCCAACAGGGTGACTTCAAACACTTGTAAATGAACGTGATGCTGAAATTGCCTTGAAATTGCTTTTGTGAACATGGGTGGACCAGCTTATTGAGTGACCTGTGCTCCGAGCAGCGCGAAGCTGCCTTAGCTGACAGTTACCTGTGTTGATAGATAGCGTATTTGTTTGCAGATTTAGCTGTGCGATATGCACCGTTATCTCAGGATATCTCTTTGAAGAATGAATTAGTGTAATGACGTTATTTCTTAATTATGTCATAAATTACTTAATTCTTGCCCTGAGCGGTCTGTAGTCTATGCTGAAACACACACAAGGAGTCCCAAAGAGATTTTAAGGGATGATACTGCCTTAGAAAGTTCTCTTTTTTGGTTAATAGTTGATTGTTTTTGAGGCTATTAATTCTTATGCTAGTTCTTATTCACACCAGTGAATCCCCTGGCGAGGGTCGGACTGGGTACTGGGATGCACAGCACACTGTGGGTAGCAGGAGCATCCAAAATACTTGGAGCAGCCAAGTAAAAAGTACAGCAACAAAAGCAAGGCAAGTGGCAAGGTAATATTTGCAGGCAGAGTGATGGATCTGAGGAGGATGTGGTTAAAGATGGGAAAAAAAACCCACAGAGATACATGGAGGGGATCTCTGCACAGCTGTAAGGCAAAGGGAAGAAGGTGGTAACAGAATGACAGCGCTGATGCTCCTGCACGTTATGAGTCCAGACTTGCATTTTGCTTCTGGCATCATGTGCACTTAATCCCACTGGTGAGAGTTGCCACATGACTGGAGCRTGTATGGCGTTTTGGCACCGAATGCAATTCTTCAGCTATCTCTTACATCTCTGTGCAAGAGCTGTAGTTCTAACAGCTCTTAAAATGACACACTCCTCAGGAGTGCTGCTGTGCTGCTTTCGGTAATAACTCATAAGTTATATAAGAYTCTCACTTAACTGCTGATCAGAGGAGTGTATGCAGTTAAAAGAGGAACGATTAGGTATGGCAGTTTGTAAAAAGGTAAATAACAGGCTCTTTGGTGTGTAGCTTCTCATTTTCCACAGATATTTTCTGATGCTTTCTATAGAAGCAATTACATACAATTGTATGTAATCAGTAATCCTCAATAAAATTAGGTTAAATCTGTATTGCACTGGCATTGGTCAATTCTCTTTGAGTTTAACCATTGCAAGAAATATTTTATTTAAGTTTACCTGGGATTTTCTTCAGTCCTTTCAATTCTTTATTGCAATACATGTCTGAAGCAGTTGCTGCATAATTTAGACTTTTACTGAAGTTTTTACTGTTTTTTAGTTTYTAGGTATCTATTTTTAAATATATTCTATTTTTTATATTTCATATTCTCTTCTTTATCCTTTTCTGAAGATTCAGTTTCTTGTTACCTTATGCCATATTTCCATAATACTTGATAGAAAAAGATCTCCTTTTGTCCAGCCTTTGCCAATTGTAGCTCAGAATGTGATTCTTTTCCTTGACCTGTGATATCCAGCTCTTCTTCTAAAATAACTTTTGATTCCGTAGTTTGCAGTTTCAGGCTGTTCGACATGAACRATGCAAGAAGCATTTCAGAGGGGGCTCAAACTCAATACTTACTAAAAATACAGTGATTTTGGACTTTGGAAAATCCAAAATCCACACTTTTGATTTTTTCTCTACATTTTCTAATGAGGAATCCTTTCTTCATTTTCTTCCTCTCRTTTTCTGTTCTTTGCATGTRCTCATGCTACTTTACTGCCCTATAACCTGAAGTACAGTGTAGTTTTTAAATTTGTTTATGTTATTATAACAAATTAACTTTTTTTTAGTCAGCTCTGGATAGTTGGTATTTGATAAGTGCAGAAAACATTTGTTTAGCTGCACAGGTAGATTTACATTGGCATTTTCCCCTTATTTGTTTTGTTCCTTCATCCTCATGAAATATTTTTCACTTACTAGTGTGCAAAAGAGAGTCAGGAAAAATACTTGTTGCTCAGGTATTTTTGAGCAACATAACTATGTTTGTTTCGAGCAATAAAATACTTTGTTAAAAAAAGTTTAAAAAAACCCAAAGAAACAAAAGCTGTTAGAATTTCATGGGGAATAATATTTAGATGATTATAAACAAGGAAAATGTTAGGCAGAACCTAAAAGCCGCTTTCTATTCTGTTGCACAATTTAAATCTGTACTAACATTATTGCAGCCACTGGAAATTGTTCTGGATTTTCAGCTCCATAACCTAAAATCAAAATCTATTCTCCTGAGTTCGTATCCTAGTATTTTAACAAAAAAGTAAAATATACAGAGAAAAGTAACTTGAACAAACTTTAGGTGAAGCCAAGTTACCAGAAGAAGATAAAATAGCTCTGATAAAATGTAAATAAATATAAAATAAAATTTAACTCTGATACATTATTTAAAAATAATATATATGCAATATATATTATATACACACGTATATATATATACACACACACACAAATATAATGTTATATATTATATATGTGTGTATATATATATAAAATAACTGTAGTTGTTAATAAACTTGTTGAGCTTTTTGAAAATCTCCAGAGAAACAGAAAATGTCATTTTCTAAGTGTCAAAATGATAAAGAAACAATTTTGAAGCAATGAGGTCCCATGCTCCATTCACTGATGGGCAAAGACATTTCCTGCAATTTTAAGGGCAATCAAGGAAATGATTTGAGGTAAGATTAAGGAAAAAATAAGTAAGCCTTTTGCGTGAAATTCACATTAATGCGACTTTTTCATTCTGGGAACATTAAAATAAAACAGAGAATTTTAGA